TCGCGCACGTGTCGTCGCATTCGTGCGTCGCGCGCAAACGTGCGCGCGTGCTCGTTCGAAGTGTTCGCGCCTCTATGCTGCGCGTGTTAACCCGCAGGTAGCAGCTAATTTCCTTTGTGACTTTCGCCGCCCCCATTTGTCCCGCCCCCGCCTTCAAACAAATGCGGCTTCCTCGGTTTCCAGCGATTTCTTGTTGGGTTGATCCTGGCGCTATCGCGGGCGCCATTGAGATTTCAATTTCCGTCTAGGGTGCTTCTGGGGTTTGGGCCGTCTTTCGCTGTGTCCAGGCCCTCATTGGGGCCTTCTGGGGCTTCCCCGGCTGGCTTGGGCCCCCTTTCGGCTCGCGCTGGATTTTCAGAAGCCTTGCAAGGGGGGTCGCGAGAGCCACTCAAACATGCATGGGACATCATGGGCGTGTACTCTGAGCGGGTGCCCCGAGGGCATCTTGCAAGTTTGCTGGGTCTTCGCTGGCGCGGTGGAAGCCGGCGCCGCCCCACCTGCCAGAGTTGTTGGCGCCGTTTGCTATTCAGAGCCAACGGCGCTGGGTGGGGGAAATGGCTGTTCTCCGGTCCTCTCGCCATCCTCTTGTGTCTCACACCTCTTGCATGTATTCCCAGCATGGAATGGCGGCTGTCGCTCGAACTTGGCGGCGGAGCTTTCGCGCCCGCGGCAGCTCTGCTCGCTTCCACCTGGCGCGACGGCGCGCGACTGCATTCATCTACGCCGACTGCCACCGGCGCGGCAGAGGGTGCTTCGAGGATCGCGACAGCACGGTGGGCTCCTTTTTGGTATTCCACGTCGTCGGTGCCGACGCGACGCCAACGCTGCGTCCTCGCCGACGCCAGCCCGGGCCGCGCGCGCGAAGAGACCTGGCCGCGTCTCGAGAGGCCTTCCTTTCCCCGACCTCCGCCTGGGCAAGATCGTCGTCGAGCGCGCGCGGGACCTCGGCCGCCGCTGCGACGACGTGGCCCACGACCTCGTCTTCGAGCGCGCGAGGGATGAGCGGCGGGGAACCGACCCCAGCCCCCGCAACTATGGATTGCGCATGTCAGCGCTTTGCATCTACGGCGAATGTGCGTAAGTGTAGGCGCCTTGTCGGCGGGGCCAATGGCAGCTGCCGCAGGCGGGAACCGCGCGCGCGCCGACGTGCTGGGCCCGCTCGACGCGGCCGCGCCCGCGCCAGCGCCCCCGGGGCCGCGCGTGCAACGGCCGCGGCGTGCAGTTTGAGGCGAAGGCGGCGCTGTCCCTCGCGCGGGGGCGCCGCCGGCCCAGCCGCGGGCCCCCGCCCCCGCCTCCGTCGCCCCTTCGTAACCCGCCGACGGAGAAGTTTAGATCGGGAGCGTTTCTCTTGAGGCAACTGTTCCAGGATCAAACTTTTCCTGCATTTATATAAACACCTTTTTGTCTATGCAAACTTTTCGGGGCTCTTCCGCGCGAGACTTTTCGCTTCGGAGAAATTTAGATCGATTTTGAAGTAGCGTTTCTATGTTTATTTGCCTGGCGCCGCAACTTTGTTTTTGGGGTGGGCCTGAACTTTTCGATGCGGGCCCCGAGCGCCGTCCCGGGCACTTGCCAGCGTCGCCAAGAGCCGACGCGCCCCTTGGTTTTTGCCCCGGCACGAGCGCGCGAACATCCACGATGACATTGGGCATTGACAGCGCGCCAACACAAGGCAATTCCAAGTTCATCAAACGCAAACGAGCATAGCAGCAGAGCGCGTTTCGCATTGAACTGCGCGGCGTTGTCGTTGGCTGACAGTCGAGCTGTTTCCGCTTCCAGTTCACGCGTCCTCTGACGGTCCCATTCGTCGAAAGTTCTTCATGTGGGGGGCGGGGGGTGTTTTCGTCCGTTCAAGGGACCTCGACCGCCGCTGCGACGATCTCACCTTCCACCGTCAGTTCTGCAACCGCGACGACCCACCGTCTCCTGCGCACGAGCGCGGGATCGCGAACGACTGCTCGGTCTCCGAGATCGAGGAGCGCCGACTCGCGAACCCTTTTCAGCTTCCTGCCGTTCATGTAGACACGACCGACTCCCTCTCCACAGCCGCCGCGTCCGACGTCCGCACTTTCCACTTTCCGCCCCCACCTATTTTGAGCCTCACCATTTACGGGCTCCCGGCCATTCTCAGAGGCGTGCTCATCGGCCTCGTGATGCGAGAGTGGGATGGGGGACCCAACTGGAGCTCCCTCTTGGGACCCAGCTCGGAATGTGCCATCCCGCGCGTGGACGCGCGAGGTGCGCGCGTGGCTCGACGTCCACTGTGGCCGCGCGGCGCCACCCCATCAGGCGGATGCTTAACGCGCAGCATCGCCATGCCGACGCCCTCGGGGCCGTCAAATTGGGAGCGGAAGTCAACGATGTTCGCGCTGACTTCGCGACGTGCTCGCTGCGCTTCCTGGCGCAGCGAATTCCCAGGCCTCGAGGACGAGTGCCACCTGCAGCAAGGACTGGGGCGCGTGGGTCTAGCGAAAGGGATTGTCAGTGCACTGGCCGAGGGGGAGATGGCACGGACGGAGGCCCACGCGGCTTCGCACTGATGCGACGACGTCCAGCTATCATATACACGCTGGCGCGACCCCCCGCGCGCCCAGCGCGAGAAGTTTCGATTCGTTGCTTCTCCAGCCGCTCAGCGGCATGACGCCGCGACCAGCTGCCGCAGGCAATGACGCGTCGACGCCGCCACATCGTCGCACGCATGCCGCGCAATTTTGCCCCAATCACGGGCGGTCCTGGCAGGGGCGACATCCGCTTCAGCGATGCCGCGTTCTTGCTGCGCCAAGATGCCCCAGCAGGAACGCCTGCCGCTGGGCCCTGGCCAGCAGCGACCCGCGGGCTCCAACGCGCTCCGGAAAACTTGGCCGCCCGGGCGCCCCCTCTGAAAAGCGGCCTTCTTCCAAGAAGCCTTCCCCCCTCCCCCTCCCCCCCTTCTGCGCTCCGCGACCAGTGGGGAGCCTCGCTTCGCGACTGGAGGTGCGCCTCGCAGCAAGGGCGTGGAACGAGGTCGGGGCCGAGGGGGTGCGGGGCAAATGTATTTGATCCATGCAGTCCTTTACCTTTCTCTTTACCCTCCCCCTTCCCCCTCCTCTTTTGCTTCTTGCCATCTTAGCTGTGCTCGCATGGCGGATGTATTACTTTCGTTGTTCCGTTGGGGGCGCGCGAGCTGGAGTTTCCTGCTGGGCAGCAGCGTCGCATCGGCGGGGGTCTCACTCCGCGGTGGAAGGCGGCGCCTCGAGGCACTGGTGGGCGGAGCCTGCCGCGATGCACAAAACTCGGAATCCCTGAAGAAGTCTCAGAGCTCGCGCGATGCATTCGGACCTCGCGTAATACAGAATCACAAGTTCGACTCGCCGCGATGCACTTTCCTCGCACCGCCTCTTTCCGCTTAGTCTGCCAAGGTGATGAGATATCGTATTGTCGTTCACACACGCACGTCGATTATTGAGGTAACGTTTCTTTTGCAGTTCCACTGAGGTAACGTTTCTTTTGCAATTCCACGTCTTCCGTTGTTGCGCTTCCGTTCGGCGGAGAGCTCTCATCAGGATTGTTCAAGGACTCCTCCAGGGCTCCACACGGAGCCCTCGAGAGTCTATGGGATTTTCGCTTGGGAAGCGCCCGTGTTCCTGAGGGAATGGTCTGGGTCCTTTGGGAATTGTTGGGGGATCTTTGAGGACAGCCTGGGGATTCCTGAGGAAGCCTTTTGGTTCGTTATGAGCTCCGTGGGGTGTGTCAGGAAAGCCTTGTTATTTTCCCGGGATCCTCAGCATTCCAGGGGGAATCGCCGAAGAACTCTTTCTGAATTCGTCACGAAATGTCATGGACTTTTCGGGAATGACTCGGGATTCCTGATGCATCTCTCCGAGTACCGAGGGAATCCTAGCGACATTCTGAGATGTGTTCGGAAATCTGTAGGCCTCGTGAGGAAGAGGAGGAGGAGGAGGAAGAAGAGGAGGAGGAGCAAGAGGAGGAGGGGGAGGATGAGGAGGAGGGGGGGAGGGCAAGCTAGGTGCGCTCGCGTCAACATCTGACATCCTACCCCTCCCTCCCATCCCTTCCCATTGAGCGACTTCATTGTCCTCTCACCGAATCGGGCTTCGCATCTGACCCTGTTACCTAAGAGGGAAAGGAGGAGGACGACGGCGCGATGAAAACGAAGACGACGACGAAGACGACGACGACGACGACGAAGACGACGACGACGACGACGGCGGCGACGACGACGACGACGACGATGAGGACGACCGGCGACGAAGACGACGACGACGACGACGCGACCGCGCCGGAGCGGCACCCGCGCCAGCTGCCCGCTGCCGTTACGCGCGTCCCCCACCCGGATCTCAAATTTCTGCAGGGGTGAAAGGAGAGTAGCATTCATATTGGGTAATGGTAGAGTGGGTCCGATGTCCGATGAAAACCAAACTCCCGGGAATCCTGTGCGGAAAAGGACGCCGCCCAAAAGGGGGGGGGGGCTTTCTGCGGCCCCAAAAATCAACGAATCGACACCGGATGTGTAATCACCTCCAATGTTTTTGCCGGGGATCATTTTCTAGATTTGGGGCTTCTTAAAAAGGATCGAAAACGTCGGCGCTGCAGCGGGAACACGTTTTGGAACAACGAGAGGCGCAGAAATTGGGCCAGCGCTGCAGCGGGAGCACGATTCGGAACGAGCGGGAGCGCGGAAATGAGGCCAGCGCTGCAGCGGGAACACGATTCGGAAGGAGCGGGAGCCCGAAAATTAGGCCAGCGCCTCAGCGAGAGCAGCATTTTAGAAAAAAACACAAGCGAAAACCCAACTCCGGGGAATCCTGTGTGTAAAAAAACAGTACGCGGGGGGGTGCCGAACATCTTCCGGACGCCATCAGGGGAAGTGGGAGAGTAGTATTCATATTGTGTAATTGTGGAGGAGGAGGAGGAGGAGGAGGAGGAGGAGGAGGAGGAGGAGGAGGAGGAGGAGGAGGAGTTTGAGGGGGAGGCTGACGGGAAATGAGCATGGCCGGGAGGCGTGGTTCGAGCTGCTCGCCTGCGGCGGTTCGGCGGTTGACTTGGCAGCCTGCCCCGCTGGTCGCGGCGGTGCGCAGTCGCCTTGCGCCTCTCTTGTCTTCCGATGCTGTCTTCGGCCTCCTCCGAGCGAAGACATACGCTGACAATGACCAAGATGTTGCGGGATCTTGTAGATGCCGATTTTGGTCATGGTCCATGCCGGCCGCCGCCGAGCCGCGAGGATGATCCATGAATCGACTTTGACCACAATAAACGGTGACAAAGGTCGGCACGACGTGTCCGCGTTCAGTCTTGGCCGTAGTCCCCAGTTTCTTCCCCTGCAGTCCTTGTGTCTTTAGACGACTGGGCGTCCCATAATTGGGGGGGGGTGCGTCCATTAACAAGGTGGGCAGCTAGGCAAAGAGGTACGTCCATTAACAAGGTGGGCTGGAGTCGGGGGAGTCGGCGAAAGATTCGGCGAAGTATTGCTAGCGGATATCGACAGATTTGGCGAAAGTGCCTGTCCGATCTCGGCAGGCGGCCGGGCTTTCTGGGTTCCCCAGTTCGGGGTTCCCCGGTTCCCGGCTTTCTGGTCTCGGGCCGATTTCGGTGGGCGGCGGGGTTCGGTGGGCGGGGGGGCTCCCGGGGGCGGAAAAGAGGGGGGTGATGACTAGGGGGGTGTGGATATCATGGCGGGAGCCATGATTTTTCCGCAGATGTCATAGCTCTTGTTCCTCTTCCTCCTCCTCCTCCTCCTCCTCCTCCTCCTCCTCCTCCTTTGGACCTGCCCAGCCTAGGGGGCTGGCTTGGCAGATGTTGGTTTTCCATTTTCGCGTCGTGTGCTGGAGGGTGTCCCCGTCCGACTCGGAGACCAGGGTCAGGGGCTTACAGTGCTCGCTGGTTCTCGTGTGCAGGAGTCGGGCGGTGGCAGGCGCTTTCGGGTGCGTGCCTGAACTGGGTTTCCGCTTATTTCATCACGTCCCTGGCCCCCCCGCGGGGCCGCGCACATGCCGCCAGTCATGATTTGCACCCCCCCCTCTTGGACACCCCCCTCTTGGCCGCTCCCGAGGCTCCCGGGGTTCCCGGGTTCCCGGTCGATCTCGCTATCGATGCATGTCATTATCGATCTCGCCATCCATCTCATGCAATCGATCTCATAATCGACCCCACTACCGATCTCATTCTCGATATCATTATCGATCCCACCGTCGATCTCATTGTCGATCACACTAGCGTATCACCATCGATCTCATGATCGATCTCACCATCGATCTCACGATCGATCTCACGATCGCTCTCGGTGTCACTATCGATGTCATCACCGATGCCAACATCAATCTCACTATCGATATCACCAGCACTCTTCCTATCGATCTCACTCAATCGATATCCTTATCGATAACAATATCACTATCGATCCCACTCAATCGATATCACTACCCATTGCACTATCTGTCTCACTATCGATCCTGGTATCGATCTCAGTTTCGATCTCACTCGATCGACCTCACTACCAATCTCATTATCGATTTCATTATCGATCTCGCGATCGACCTCACTTTCGATCTCATTCAATGGATCGCAGTATCGACCGCACTATCGATTTCACTATCGCTAGCATGACATTGCATACCATACACCATAACACGGGACACCCGCGCGCCACGGGACATCACGGGACAACATCGGGACACTTTCGGGACACCAGCGGGGCACAATTGGGACACCAGGGCACCGCTGGCCAACCTGGGGGACAGCAGCGTTTGTCTCGGCTTCGCCCTGGCAGCGGCGGGTTCATTCCTCTCGCCAGACCACGCAGCTTCGCCTCGCACGCACGCGCGACACGACCGTGAATCCAAATTCACTATCCCGGTGGGGGGGGTCTCCGTTTCAATGCGTCTCACCCCCCAACCTCCGATGTATGTAGAGAGGCAGAGAGAAAGAGAGAGAGAGAGAAACAACAAAGAGAGAGAGAGAGAGAGAGAGATAACCATACCAAGTACGGTACATACAGAATGAGAGAGGCGCAGTAGAGAGAGACAGAGAGATCCCCCTCCTCCTTTCGGGGCCTCTCTTGGAGCCGCGGCTGGGATTGCTCACGGCGCATCCCCTGTGCCTGGTGCGGGAGCCTCCTCTCCTTGCCCCTCCCTCCACCGCCTCGTCCTCTTCATGTCCGTACTCTTTCTTCCCTCCCGATCCATCCTCTTGACCCCCCTCGTCCTCCATCTTCCCTCCCTCCTTTCCTCCTGTCCTTATACCTCTTGACCTCCCCCTCGCCCACCCCTCTTCTCTCTTCTCTCCTCCCTTCTTCCCTCTCTCCCTGGTCCCTCGCCCCCTCTTCTTTCGAGGCCCGCGCCAACTGTCCGTGGCGGGCAAGTAATTCTATCCCCCGAAGGGGGCTCGATCGGAGACGAGAAGGATGGGCACCGTGGGTCTCTGGAGGAACACGTCGAGTGCCACGCGAACAAGTATGAGCGAACAGTCTCGAGCCGACTGCTGCCGTTGCTGCAGGCAGCCCGAAAGCCCGTTCCGTGCGGTGCGCCGCGCTTTTGGGGGCTCAGCAACCAGCTCCCTCCTTCAGGCATGAGCCCATCGGAGGGCGCCCCAGACGGACTTCGCCCTCGAGGATCGAAGAAGCTGGCAGACGGCGGCGGACAGCCAGCGTCAGCCCGCGGACGCAGACAGAGATTTGAGGCGCTCCAGACCTCCAGACGGGCCTCGCCCTCGAGGTCAAGCAGCGGCGAAGCGTCCTGGCTCGCCTGTAGCCTTACCAAGCAATGATCAAATAACCTTTTGCGGTCTTCAGGAAATGGTCTTAGAACATTTCTGGCTGAGTCTGCCTTGTTTTATCACATCGGGTTAATGTTCTAAGAACATTGCTTTTGTTCCTAGAACATTTTTGGGTTCCAAGAACATGTCGTGGTAGGACTATAGGAATGCCGGGACGGTCGGTACCTGCTTACTTGAGGCGCTCCAGACGGGCCTCGCCCTCGAGGATCGAAGGAGCTGGCGGACGGCGGCGGAAAACCGGCGTCGGCCCGCGGACGCAGCATGAGGAGGAGGAGGTGGAGGAGGAGGCGGAGGAGGAGGAGGCGGAGGAGGAGGAGGAGGAGGAGTTGGACGAGGAGCAGGCGGAGGCGGAGGAGAGGAGGAGGAGGGCGGAAGGGCGGTGGGAGTAACACGGTGCGCCCCCAAGAGACGGCGAGGTCTCCGGGCTCAAGGTTTCCAGAGCACGCCACGGGAGGAGGGAGGAGGAGGAGGGAGGAGGAGGAGGAGGAGGAGGAGGAGGAGGGAGGCGGAGGCGGAGGGCGGAGGCGGAGGCAGAGGCAGAGGCGGAGGGCGGAGGAGGAGGAGGAGGCGGAGGAGGAGGAGGCGGAGGCGGAGGCGGAGGAGGAGAGGGTGGAGGAGGAGGAGGGAGGAGGGGGAGAGTCGGAGGAGGAGGAGGAGGCGGAGAGAGGCGGAGGAGGAGGAGGAGGAGGATGAGGAGGAGGAGGAGGAGGAGGAGGAGGAGGAGGAGTGCCCGCTCTCCTCCCGCCCTCCTGGCTGGAGGTGCCTGAGATGGCACAGCACGTGCTCCATTCGTCGCTGGCACCGGCGAGCAAGCATGGGAGAGCCCAAGTGCCCCCCTTGACATACAAAGGGTTACGTCAGGTTCATGACGCTGGCGAAGGCGTTCGAGGTTGAATTCTGCGTCGCTGGAGCACCGAGGGACACTGCATCGCCGTTGCACCCGACGGAACTCAACCTTGGAACGATTCGGGCCGCGATCGATTCAGGGTTGAACGATCGACGCGGTGTCAAAAACCTCCGCGCGTCGACGCCGCGCGAACTTACCGTACGCCTACCCTTGAGGGCATCAGTCGGCGGCGAGCGAGGGCGTGAAGTGAGAGGGGGCGGACCTTCTCGGAAGGCTCGGAGGGCCTCCGGCCTTCCGCGACTTTTTCTGAGCCTTCCCCGAAGACACGGAACACCTCTGAAGGCGCGACGGTTTTTGAGACGTCCCGCCGCCCTCTGAGAAGGCCTCCGACTTCTCACCTCTGGAGCCGGTGACCTCCCAAGTGGGGCCCTGGAGCCGGTGTGAACGCTTGGAAGGATGACAGGAACGATGCCGCTGAAGGTGTACGTTCTCCAGGGGGATTGGCCGACGCTCTTTTGGACTGCCTTGGGAGCCCTTTTCGGCCCGTGCTGGGGCGTTCGGGCTCCAGAAGAAGCGCCGGGGAGCTCGTCGCCGAACTTGGCCTCTGGGTCATAACTCGGGTGTGCGGCGGCCGTCCGGGACGAGGGACGAGCTGGGCACCCGAGGCACGCCCTCGGCGAGTGGCAGGCATCCCGAGGCTGGAAAACCGCCGAGGACCGACGAAAACATCCGAAACCATCGCCGCCGAGAGGATCCTACGACGGGGGTCCTCCGGTCTCCGCGTGCCGCCGAGTCGGCGCCGCGCTGCGATCCCCCGCCGCCCCGGCCGCCGCCTCCCCGGGGCAGGCGCGCCCGCCCTGCTGGACGTCCTGGCAGGCTCGGGCCGCTTCCGCCCGCCTCGGCGCTCGTTCTGCACCCCGCGCCTGCCCCGCTGCCTCTCCGTCCATGCCTCCCTCCCTCCCTCCGTCCCTACCTTCAAGTCGGGCCTGTCCCTCTACTTCTTCCCCAGACCCCTGCGCGTGGTGAAAATAACATGAAATTGGGCATGTTTTTTTTTTTTTTTCTCTCTCTCTCTCTCTACAGGGTGAATATTGGAAAATAGTAGAGAAATCATGTTATGGCGATTTTTCATGCCATGTTCAAACAACCCCCCCAAAGTATGATGGACATTGTTTTCTGGATACCGGCTATGCGAACGTACGTTGCACGGAATTAGAAAACATGCTACGCCGCGTGGCGCCATCATTGTTTGTTTCGTCGCAGTTGGTGGCGGCAGCGCGCGCTATCGTGTTTCAGCCGAGGCGTGCGTATATGTCGATGTGGTTGTTGCGACGTGCACAATGAGGGTCGACCGCGCTCTACCATCTTGGACTGGATGGCGCGGTGCTGCGATTGGATTCGCGCGCAGCGTGAGCAATCCGACGACTGGCCTCGGGGCAGCCGACGTTTTTCCCCCCCCCCCCCCCCCCCCCCCCCCCCCCCCCCCCCCCCTCCTCTATCCATATTGTCACGCACATCCACAAAAACCGCCCGATCAGTTTTTGTGGCCGCTGGGATTCGAGTTCCCGCTGCATAACTCCAGTGTTTCCCCCTATTTCCCCCCGCGCTCCTGCGCGCCATCCTTGTGCGTCCTCCCCACCCTACTCCCATTCAAAAAGGGTGGCGCGCATAGAGCGGCGCTTCCCGCGTTCGGCCGCTGGGTCTCTTTTGGCAATCGCGCGTGGTATTTTGCGCGAGGGGCAATCCAGACCAGACAAGTAGATATGAGTGGAGTAGGAGTTGATGTGGAGCACGGTAGGAGTGCGCTGGAGGTTGTCCGTGAGTCTGGTTGACTGCAATTGGGTGCAGCATATGGTAAGAGCCGGTTCCGAGTAGGGCAGGCCGGGGTCGGCGCAGAGATGGCATACTGACCATCACCAGATCATCTGATCTTACATAGGAGAGAAGAGGAGGGTTGCGTGCGCCGTTGTAGCAGGGTCGAGTAGATGAGGGTGCAATGCGGCGCGTGGCGGGGCGAGGCACGATTAGGGCTACGTGCGCACATTTGCATATAACATTACAAGCGCCAAAACATGATCTATGTCCACTCTGTCGGCACGGTGGTCGCACGGATCGCGCGGAACCGATTGGGGCGCTTTCAGCCAGGGCGGAGCAATGTGACTATTGACATACGCGTGCGCGTTTACATACACATACTCATGTTACAGATCGGCGTGCCCAGTGCGCGCGTAGCAAAGCAGGGCCGACGGCTTGCGGCGCGCCCCCGTCGTCGCCAGCGCCGCCGGGACGTCGGAAGTGCAGACAGGCATCGTCGCCGTCGCGGCAGCGGCGCCTCGGATGCCCAGAGTGAATGTCCGACGCGCCCGAGGAGCTAACCACTAATACTCCAGTGCGGGACGCTGCGCGCTCGAAGGCGACGTAATTTATTCCATTGGAGGATGCCAAGCGCAACGCGCGCGTAACGCACTCCAACAATGCGCCCCGCAGATTTCAAACGCTCGCAGCGTATTTCCCGCAGGTTTCAAATATGTAGACACATTCCAAGCATGCCCCCGCAGACTTCGCGCGTTCAACGAATATCCCACATTTTCCAAATCTACCCAGGTGCACTCCATGGTTATTCCAGCGCCATTTTCGAAATCTCAAATGCTCCAAAGATCCTCCATTGCCATATGCGACGTTCCAAATGATGCCGCATATACTCCAGTACCATCTGCGAATTCCAAAAAACTTCGTGGGCGCTCCCTTGCCACTTGCGATTTTTCATATGCTGGAATGACACGCCAGTGCAGTTTGCGAATTATTCGTCTACTCCAAACCTGCCCCCCCTGCCATTTACGAGATTTTGAAGCACTCCAGAAAAAAAAACGCGGCGACCTCTGACATGTCAAGATGCCCCAGGAGACGCTCGCCGACCATTTGCGAAACGTCGAAGCGCTCCAGGGCGCAGTGCGCGACAACCTTCGACAATTCCAAGTCATCCAGGAGATGCCCTTGCGTGCTTTCTGGGAAAAGCTGCCTTTAGGTGGGCCCCGTGGCCATACCTGGAGAACGCGGGAACCCCGCGGCAGCGCCCCCCCCCCATCGCCCGAAATCGCGCAGCTGCGCAACGCGATGTCGCGGGCTCGCTGGCGGCGCAGGTGCCCTGCGTCAGGGTTGCCAGGCGCGCGCCGCGCACTGCCGATGCGGTGTCATCGCGGGCTGAACAGCGCGCCGCAACGTTGCCGAGCGCGTGTCGCTCCGCGCCGCAGAAACGTCGCGGCTTCGCGCTGCGCGCCCGATCCCGCTGGGGGACGGGCACTCAACGCGCGCGCGCGCGTCGGGCGCGTGATGCGGGCCGCGCGCGTCGCGCAGCTTCCGCGCGCAGAAGGGTTCAGACTTTGCATTCATTTTTGGATCCAATTATCCCGCGCGCCCGCCCTCGCCACCATTGACGAGCATTTGCGTGTGGGGGCGGGGGGCGGGTGGACCCGGTACCCATCGATCGAAGTACGAGCTCGCGGCTTTCCGCCAGCCCCAGCAGGTCTTCATTTTTGTTTTGCGACGCATCTCGTCTGCCGTCTGCGCGCTTTGCGATCGGCGGTTGCTCTTGAGTCATCTGCGCGTTCGGATTGGCTGTTCTCTGGTGGCCCCCATCGCGCGCCCTCGACGCGCGCGCGCTGCGTCTGTCGCTCGTCGTCGAGGTGGGCCCATCGGCAGCGAACCGCGCGGGGTCGGCCGAGTGCGCGGCGGGGTCGGTTCGCTCTCGCGCGAACGCGAAGCCAGTGAATGTGCGTCGAGTTTCTCTCGTGGCGAAATATGTGCGGCCGCGGTTTGCGCGGCGTTGAAAAGGCGCCCCTTTTGTCGGGCGCGCAGGGCGCCGCGCGCATTGCGCGCGCCGAAACGCGCGGGGTGGCATCGCGGAGACAAGGCGGTCCTCCAGTTTTTGTTTGTTTGTTTGTTTGTCTGTCTGTTTGTTTGTTTGTTTGTTTGTTTGTTTGTTTGTTTGTTGCTTGTGTGTGTGTGTGTGTATGTGTGTGTGTGTGTGTGTGTGTGTGTGTGTGTGTGAATGTGTGTGTGTGTGTGTGTGTGTGTGTGTGTGTGTGTTTGTGCGCGCGTGCGTGCGTGCGTGCGTGCGTGCGTGCGTGCGTGAGTGTGTGTGTGTGTGTGTGCGTGCGTGAATGTGTGTTTGTGTGTATGTCTTTCTCTCCGCGAAGTGTTTTTGGCGCATTTGTCAAGAATGTTGATATGTTCTTTTCGCATAAACGAACCAGTATGTTTTGCTTAGTCCATATTTGTCTCAGAAAGCGCATTTGGGAGGACGTGCCCGACGTGGGCGTTGCGCGGCGGGGGTTCTCGCCATCTGGGGTTTCTGGAGGCCCGCGCCGGGCCCCAGGGCCGCCCGGAGACGATTTGGCCGACTCCGGGGAAGTGGCCCAGACTTCCTTGGGGGTCGACGCTGCGCGAAAATCGCGACGCCTGGGGCCAGGAGGGGGCAAATCGCGCGGGCGCAAATAATCGTCGATCGCCATGAAAATATGGGGCGCGTGGGACGGGGGGGGGCGAGCATCCAGAAAATGAGGGGCCGTGTGGATCCTTTGTTTTTATTCGTATGTGCGTGTCCTGGGGCCCCTGCCGCTGCCCGCCCTCCGCTCCTCCGTTCCTGCCCCCCTCCGCCCATTCCCCGCCCCCCCCTTCCGCCCCCGCCCTTTCCTCCGCCCCTGCCTCCCGGGGTCTCTCTGGGGCGGCCCCGCTGCGCGTTGCCAGTGCGATCGTTTTTCGACGCATTCTTCCGCCGTTCGGTGCGCCCCCCCCACCCCCCCTTCCCGCGGAGTGGATCCCGGCCATTTTTGGCGCCCGTTTCAAAACGGGCGGAACAGGCGCGGGGGCCCCGCCCCCACCGTTCGAAACAGTCGCGCTGAGTATGGGTCCGGGGCCTGCGTGCGACGGTGCAGGCCTGGCCTGGGGCAGCACCTGCGTAGCTCTACCTCTCACCTCGCTGTGAGCTGCCCTTCAGGCGCGCGCGTCTTCGGGGGGCGCCCCGACTCGTGGTGTGGGCGCCGTCCCCCAGGGGGTGGGCATATGCAGATAGGTGGCCCCATAGGGGGTTCCACCGAAGGTCCCGGTGGGACCGCCCGCGTGCGTCAGCCACCACCCAGCGCAGCGCTTCGCGGCTCCATTAAGGGGGCTCCACCGACGGCCCCAGCGGCGCCGCCCGCATGCGTCAGCCACCGCCCAGCACAGCGTTTCGTGGTCCCTCAGCGAGCCCCACGCGCGGGGGAACGGGGGGTCGGGCGGGGCGCGCGAGACAGGCCGCGGTTCGGGAAAAGCCGAAAGCCCTCTGAGGGGCGAGTGGCCCGATTTCTTTAGATGGCCCGCTCTAGGCCATGCGATCATAGATGCCGCCGCCACTGACAGTGCAGGAGTGTCCCATGGTTCGATTGCTTTCTGCACTGGCTGCGGATCCGTGTGCGCGATCGGGGGCAGCGTGCAGCGTCGGCTACTCTGCCCTCGCCCCAGATTGTTTGGGGCGTCGGCCCGCGGGACGCGAGCGTCAGTTGGCTTGGATTTCGCACGGTCGACACCCCAGTGGTAAACATTTAGTTATGTTTCGGGCCGTTGTGTCGTCGGAGAGTGCCCGTGCCCACGTAACTCTTAAGATGGGCGTGGATGCACCTCCCCCGATGGCGCCCCCAGCTTGCTTGGTTTTGGGGGGGGCCGCCGGAGTGGAGTGGAGCCTCGGGTCTTCGTGGAGGTTCCACTGGGGGGCCTTCGAGAGGCGTCCTGTCTCGGCCGCTCCCGATCGCCCCGCGGGAATAGGGCAGCCGCCAGACCCCCAGATAGGGCCAGCCCTATTCGGTCTTTCTTGGGGGAAGGGGGGGGGGCGGTGGAGTTTG